ACGCTTCGGTGAGAAATGTTTGCAAAGTTAAATTAGTCATTTGCGTTGCCTTTCTGGTAAAATGAATAAAACAAGATAAAGATGTAAAATAACCGCCATGACAAGACCGCATAAAGTGGAAGTGGCTGGTCGCCACGACACAGAATCCTAACCTTACAATTACAAACAACAAAAAAGCATGGGCTTGAAAAGATACCACGGCAGAGAAGCGGCTTCATCAAAACCCGATGATGAGGAACGTGCCTTGAGAAACCACCACGACTGAGAAACGCGGCCTTGCGAACAGCCAACGACACAGAAGCGTGGTCTTGACGTGACTACCTTTCACAAACCTGGCCTTCCCAGGGCCCCGCGTCACAGAATCCTATGCTTGTTAAGACCTCGAGACGCAAATACATGTGCTTCAAAGGATACCAATAAGCGAGAGCGTGGCATTGACAGGACACCACGACGCGGTAGCGTCTGCTTGACATGAAGCCACGACGAGGAAGCGAGGCCTTGACACGTCCAAACGACGCAGTCTGAAGCGAGATCTTTGACAAGACACCCCGAGGCGGAAGCCTAGCACTGTCGAGATCACTTGACACAGAAGCGTGGCCTTGACAAGACCTCACCGCACCTAAACCGAAAAACGAAATCAAGCTGGCAGCTGATAAAGGCCCGTTCACACCAACGAGGTAGAGGGGCTTAGAGCGATAAACCGGGGTTCCGGTCTGCACTCGAAAGTGACCCCCATAAGGTGGCTGCCATTGTACGCAAATTTGACCACACGTCACATGACCAAACCAAATACGTGACGTCACAGGAAAGATGGCAGCGCCCGTGCAGCGGCTGGCCCCAGCTGGGCCGGAGCTTGTCGGATGCTTTGTTGGTTGTCGCTCGTCTCGGCAAGTTGATTTCGGACGGGGAAGCCGTCATATGAGGCCGGTCGAAAGTGAGTTCAGAGTTCAGCGTGGTGCTTGACGTAGGTATAACGCGAAAATACGGAGGAACGGTGTGCATTTCGCTGGTGACCGTGTGCATTTCGCTGGTGACCGACCGGGATATTGCCGCGGAAGAGACAACCTGACCTACGTTGCTCGGACCTCGGATTGATTCGGATACCGCTAGGATAAAATTTAAGGCGACGTTTCTGTGCTCTCGTTGACCATCGGAATCTTCGAGGTTTGCAGTGAAGCGTGTGCAATATATTTAGATACACAGTTTAGCGACGGAGATTGCGTGAGTCGTGCTTGGCGGTGTGCAATCGCGGTGCAGCGCTTCGATCAAATGACCGAGGGCTCACTTCGGTTGCGCGGCGCACCGGAAGGCTGCCTTGAAGCTGGTAGTTCCCGTGCCGTGCTGAATGATGCTGTGCTGCTTACAAATTGTTCCGGCGTAGAAGTGCACTTTCACGGAGCACAGGTGTGCGGCACATTGAAGAGCTGCCTTCAAGCTGGTAGTTCCTGTGCTGCTTCCAAAATTGTTCCGGCGTAGACGTGCACTTTCACGGAGCACAGGTGTTGCAGTTGGTATTGATCCCGCTGGTCTGTCGCACGTTTCGTCAACACAAACGTTTCATCCACACTCGTTACGCGAATTGCAAGCTGTCCAGACATTTCATCGAGCGTGTTACGTACCCAGCTCACGCCGCTTTGTAGCAACAGCCTGCAGTGGCTCATTACCAGAAAAGTGGTCCCACATCCATTTCAGTTCAGTTCGTCCACGGCAGTCGCCAAACCCCGAAGGAGAGGATTTATTCGGACAGAATGCCACTAAAGCAATGCAGCTTCTTCAGTGGTCAGGATAGATTCTCTTCTGCGAGTTTTGTTATACTGTCACGGATCCTTGTTCCAGTCCTATCTTCCTTCAATATTCACTATTCTGGGACACTGCAGGTCAGGCTCAGCTGTAACAGTATGTTTAGGTGGAGGTGCTGGGCACTTTACCCATAGCCCTTCACTCTGTGTGAACCCGGCGGCTCTTCAGCCGAGTTACCCGATAATGGGACACGGCTGGCGGACTATCCTGCGTCTTATACCCCTGTCGAGCCGTAAGCAAAGTCCTGACCCGAGCCTGGTAGAACAACCGCAAGACGACCGAGTATACCACAAGGAGTAACCTCGGAAATACACTACGAAGCACCTGAAATCCGAGCCAGTTGCTGCTACCAGGAAAAACCACCGGAATTCGGTCTCCTGTCAGAAAATCCGAAGCTGACTAAGCCAACAATAACAAACCTGTAGCAGCAAACCGTGTCCCCTCCCACCATTGTTTGCATGCCCGTCGCAAATCACACTCCGACACTTTTTCACGCAAGCTGTATGAAGACGTCATGGACTGGTTTGAACAATATGGCAGTGTCGCCTGCCACATTGGGTGGACAGACAACCATGCTCCTGCAGAACCTATACTTCTCTTGGAAGAAACTGCCGGCGCTGGTCTGAGAACCATGGATCCTCCTTAACGTCATGGGAAGTTTGCAAGATCGAGCTGAAGCGCGCACTCGTCAGCCAACATCAACGAGGGAGAGCCGCATTCTTGATTCTGTCCAGGACACTGCCCCAATGAGAGCGCCATCGCACTCGTGGAGGATGTTTTGCGCTTGATCGAGCGCCCACGCCCACGCCCACCTTGATGCTGCATAAGACAAGAGCCTAAGAATCCCATGCCCCTCATGTGAGAGACAACACCTTCGGCAGCCTTGTCCGCAACCCCCCAACAACAGTCGAAGTGTTCATATCACTGAGGCTTCGAACATGGAATGTGCACTGCATGCCCGAACCTGCCACTATGAACAACTTCCCGGCGTCTCGACACTCGAGTTGTCCAGCCACTACTTCGACGCCAGCCTCCCATGCATCCACGACATCATCCACGACGTTGTCTGGGAGGAGATCAGGAAGCTACTTCCTGCCATCAGTTGCCCGGCTTTTTTTTATGATTGCCGAGATTGTTTCGGAACAAGTTTGACAAGTATTTCAACCGAGACTTCTGCGAGCGAAGCGGCATCTGACAAACCAAGGGCAACTTACGCCACAATGGCACGACGACCGCCACCGGCTGCCCCTTAGTATTCAATGCCAATTCAATGAGACACTCTAACGCCGAAGCATTCCCGACATCGTGTGTAGGTCTGTGCTCAACAAAGTACACCGAGGAAAACGTAGGTGATGCGAATGTGCGACCGAAAACCACTTTGCTGCCACTGCATGAAGCCGACCATGTCTACCAAAGCAATGAATTGGTCGGCGAGGGTTCGTGCCAAACGACCCTCGATTACGTCTCGAGGAGCAACCACGGGAGATTAAGGATTACCTTCGGCGACCATTGTCCCTGATGCCGAAGGTGCTGAATCGAAGATTCTGAATCCGTGACTATCCCAAAGCTCCTCATGTCCATTACCACAACAGGAGGTAAGCACGACAAAGCAGGTGAGAGGCGATGCAGTGACAGTGGATTTGGTGTCGGTTGCTGTCCAAGGACAATACCTAAAAATTTTCTGACACCAATTTTCTGTGTCCACTCCACGAAGCACACAATTTCCAACTTTGAGGGAGAATGCCCCTGAGTGACTTGGAGCAATATAATGGTTGGTTGCTGTTCAAAGTAAACTGCAAGCATCACCAGACTTGGATAGCAAACAAAAATTGTGGCCAGCTTTCAAGTGAACGGTACAGCAAAAGGCACAGCCACGTAAGCAATACATGCCCGAGCTTGCTACATTGATGCCGAAAACTACCAGGAAAATTTTCGGATCAGAAGCCAGCCCTGCAGCTTCAGTGCATCAGACGTCAGTGGCCGCACATGACGTATGATTACAAGACAGCATCAGTCGGTCAAAGTGGCCACTCGACCAAACTGAACACCGACGTGCCAGGAGCGTCATCCGACAACAAGGTCCACAGGTACTACGACTGAACGCCTGACACGAGACTGTTGCAGAAAGAACTCGTTATGAAACCATTTACTAAGAATCAATAATTATGTTATCAAGTGGAAATAAACATATTTGATACACTAACCAGATAAACATATTTCCGCTTGCCTTCATGCCTTGAGAGTCTACACACCGAGAATTGTGTCCACTGCACGCTCTGGACCTTACGAGGACACTCGCTTCTCTGACCCTTCAATATTAATTAAGGGGTCATACCAGACTGGCAGACTTCTTGCGAGGGGCTGCACTCGTTCAACCTTTCCTGAACATGTGGTGCATCCGAAAACCAACTCCAGTGATGTGAAAATGTTATTTATTAATTTATTCCTTCCAGGGGCCTTCGTAGGCATTGCAGAGAGGATACTTAAAACTACACACATGATAATAGCATTAAAGCACAGTGCTGTAACTTGTTAATTGGAAAAACAAACACACCTCTGAGCATATAGTTTAATAGTATGTGTTGATGCATTGTTATACAGCATGACACTTCCTATATGTATGACACAATAGACCCTTTGCAGAACCTTATCAAGCAACACAACCGTCACCATTTTTTTCGGCGTTAAGCACACGAATGGGCCCCAGTTCACGTCGAACGCTAATGCGCATTCGAGTCCAATAGGTGCTGAGCCGAATTCACAGGGATGGCGGACATAACATTCTTGTCGAACAAATACCCAAAGTATGAAAGCCTGGGGTAACACACAGCAGTAGCTACTGTAACTTGTTTCATCAGAATTTGGCAGACGGCAAAGGCTACAGTCTCGGTGAGTCAATACACACATTGGAGAGAGGCACATGACAGCATTGTAAAATAATTGTAACTGAACAGGGACTGACATAAGACTCTTGTCCGCTTACAATGAAGAAGAAGATGAGGGGCAGGGGCTGGCGCGAGGGGAGCCATTAGGTCAGTAAAAACGAAGGTTCCCAACGAAGTCGGTTGTCCTGTCTTTCACGAATCGACCTCACAAGGTCACCGACAAAGTCATCAGTCGACGAAATAGAGAGCTTATATGTGCAACAATTAATGGTGCAAGAAACCCGGGACCTTTGGAAGTGAGGAATCAACATCAAGATGGATCGGCTGAAGACGAAACGGAGGGTTCGACGGAGCCAGAACACGAAGATAATTACCGATATCACGACTGCGCTCCAGTCAACAACCCTTGACATCAACTCCCTGAAGAACCTACGAGACAGGCTGATCGCCAGCAACGAGGAACTCCGCAAGGTCAACGAAGAGATTGAGCCGCTGATCATCGATGCCGACCTCGAAGCGGACTATGTTGCTGTGGCAGACTACGAAGATCAAGTAGCAAGAGCCCTCAGTGAGGTACGCAACAAAATCGAGCGTCAACCTGCAGCACCAGCCATTTACCAGGTGGGAGACGACGGTGACAGAGTCATACCCCAGGCCACGGGCGTGAAACTCCCTAAACTACAACTACTGCAGTATCAAGGTGAGCTTACCCTCTGGCAGCCCTTCTGGGAGCAATTCCAAACTGCCGTTCACCGTAACACCAGACTCACGGAGGGAGACAAATTCCAATATCTACGCTCCCTGCTGAGTGGGCCAGCTGCCAGTGCTATCTCCGGGTTACAAGCAACGGCAGAGTGCTACAAGGACGCCATAGAAATACTATCCGAACGCTTCGGGAACAAGCAACGCATTCAGCGTGAGTACCTCGAAAGACTGCGAAGCCTACCAACGGTGAAGTCAGATCGAGATGTACGAGGACTAAGGAATATTTACGACCACGTCCAGACCAACATTCGTTGCTTGCGTGCCCTAGGCGTTTCGAGTGCAACGTATTCTACTATGATGGTGGACGTACTCCTGTCCAACCTCCCGACCGATATAGTGGTGGAGTACCATCGACTCAAAAGATACGGGATAGGGCTTGGAGTTCCAATCAACGGGAGAGAAAGAGCCGGAACGACTGACGATGGACAACCGTTAGACGACGTCTCGAATTCGCCAACAGATTCAGATGAGGAGTTGGATAAACTCTTGCGTTTTATGCGCGTGGAGATAGAGAGCAGAGAACAGTCATCGCCACTCGAGCGAAGGCCGACAACCGTGCCAACAGTGACGCAAAATCAGAGGCAAGGCGCCAATCCACCATCAACGTTGGTGTTGCACACTAGCGGAACAGACAACACCTGCTTCTTTTGCAACTACCGAACTCACCGTACCGGTGATTGTCCATCGGATATCACACTAGATGAGAAAAAGAAAATGCTAGCGCAAGACATGAGATGCTTTCGTTGCACGAAGCGAGGTCACCGATCAAGGGATTGCCGTAGTCAACAGAGATGTACCGGATGCAGGGGAAGACATGTCACCTCAATGTGTAACCCGGCGTGGGAAGCTTTATCAACCGTTCAGGAGACTGCCAACGTTCTTACCGCCGGTAGTACCCCGACGGTACAGACTCCGAGCGTCCTATTACAAACGTTCCGAAGCTGGGTTGGAACCGGCCTGAACCAGGCTTACATCCGCGGCATTATCGACGGAGGGAGCCAAAAGACTTTCATCAGGGAAGACTTGGCTAGGAAGCTTAATTTGAAGGTTGTCGGGGAACGTATCATGCAACTCAACACCTTTGCTTGCAGTGACTCAAACAGGTGTAGGCAGAAGTTCACCGTAGTTAGAATCCATATTAGGGGCCAATATAAGACAGCGGATCATGTCTTAGAAGCAGTCGTCGTGCCTTTCATCTGTCAAAACATCATAGGAACTCCAGTAGAGCACACATTTTTCAAGACTATCCCAGGAGACATCGCCGACAAGTTGATGTTTCCATCGACTCAAGTGGAAGCGGGCATAAGCCTTTTAATTGGAGCGGACCAGATGTGGAAATTGTTGACCGGCGAGACGCGCCGCTCATCTTGCAACACCGGGCTAGTAGCCATCGCAACGACTTTAGGGTGGACCTTTCAGGGTCCAACGAGCACAGTGAGTGTCTTCTCAGATAATACCACAAATTTGATGGTGTGCGTGTTGAACGTGGGAGGGGCTGACGAAGATGATGATGCAGCGTTAAAACATTTCTGGGAACTGGAGACCATTGGAATCGTGGATGAACCTATGGATAAGAAACAACAGGAAGAAAAGGTGTTTGAGCAATTCAAGGAAAACATCCGACAAAAGAACGGTCGGTACGAGGTCGCGTTGCCGTGGAAGGAGACAAAAGCGACCCTTGGAGATAATTACATGATTGCCAAAACCAGACTCCGAAGTCTTGTACGCCGTCTCTCACAAGATGGCTCTATCGCCCAGTATGACAAAGCAATACGTAGTTACTTTAAAGATGGACACGCCGAAGAGGTAGAATTAAATGCATCAACCTACAGGCACGTTTATTACATGCCTCACCGAGCAGTAATTCGAGTTAACTCGGAGTCAACTAGACTTAGAGTAGTATTCGACGCATCTTCCCATGCAGCAAACACCGGATCTCTCAATGATCACCTTGAAAAGGGTCCAACGATCAACACGGAGCTTTTGCCCGTCCTACTCAGATTTAGAATGCAGAAGGTGGCCATCACTGCAGATATTCAAAAGGCGTTTTTACAAATAGTCATCTCGGAGCGTGACAGGGACGCTCTCCGGTTTCTTTGGTTTGAAAATACACCCAAACCCAACGAGCCACTGCCAAACACGAAGGAGTGGCGCATGACGAGGGTTCCTTTTGGAACAACTTCCAGTCCCTTCCTACTCGGGGCTACGATACAGCACCACTTGCAAAACGTGGGTGGACCCAACAACGACATCGCAACTATTTTACTCCGATCCTTTTACGTGGACGACCTGCTAACTGGAGCAGCGAACATTAAGGAGGCACAGCGACTCGCTGACGGAGCACTCACTTTACTCAGGGAAGCAGGCATGGAACTGCAAAAGTGGAACACCAATTCTTCTCAACTCCAGGAACTCTTTGATCAAAGAGCGGATAACGTCGATCATTCATCCGAAAATAAGCCATTTAAGTCCCCCGAGGTCACCAAGATATTGGGATTGGTGTGGGATAAAAACGCGGATCATTTCAAGTTCTCTGCTGATCATCTCTTGGAGATACTTTCTACAAATCTGAACACAAAGCGCTCCGTACTCAAGGCCTCGGCTAGGATCTTCGATCCCCTCGGTTTCCTGTCGCCGTATGTTATAAGAGTGAAAATTTTATTTCAACGTATATGGCAATGCGGACTTGGATGGGATGAGGTTCTGACAGAGGCTCTTTTGCAAGAGTGGAAATCCTGGTGCGCCGATTTAACGGAATTACCACAAATCACGACACCGAGATATCTGCTGGGTGTCGAAGGTGAAAGCGAGCTGGAGATTCACATCTTCACCGACGCTAGCCCTCTGGCGTATGGTACGTGCGCATATCTCCGTGCAGTGAACAAGAAAGGAGAAGTCAGCGTGAATCTGATATTTTCCAAGGCTAGAGTTGCTCCACTGAAGACACTAACCCTTCCACGGTTAGAACTGATGGGAGCGCTATTGGGAGCACGCATTGCTACATATCTTCGTAGCTCATTGTTGGGCCACACCGTTACAATATGGTACTGGACAGACTCTACTATAACACTTGGCTGGATTAAGGGATTGGCAACCGAGTGGCAACCCTTTGTGTGCAATAGGGTGACAGAAATACAAGAACTCAGTGATCCGTCCAGTTGGCACCACTGCCCAGGTTACGAGAACCCAGCCGACGCTCTCACTAGAGGAAAGACTGTAGTACAGCTAGAGACCCAACAGGTATGGTGGTCAGGGCCGGAATGGCTTGCCCTCGAACAGCGAAACTGGCCAGTTAGTACACCCGTAGAGAACCTTGAAGACATTGATGGGGAGAGACAGCAGCGAACCGAAACGCTGCTGACTGTTGTACATGGACAAGCTGCACTTTTGGCGATTGAAAATTTCAGCAGCTACACCAAGATGTTGCGGGTGACTGCTTGGGTTAAAAGATTTGTGCACAATTGCCGCCAGAATAATGGGTCAGCTGAACTACCATTGACTACACAAGAAATTACGGATGCGGAACTTTTCTGGATTAAACACACTCAAAAGGAATGCTTCGATAAGGAGATACAAGAGATAATACAAACTGGGAGAATTGCTACAAGATCTAAAATAAGTGATCTACAGCCGTTTCTTGATGAAACCGGAATCATGCGCATACAAGGCAGACTTCATCAAGCTACCTTGACGAAAGACGTAAGACACCCTATCCTTTTATCGGGAGACCACCCGTACACTAAGCTGCTGGTCACTGCAACACACCTCAGAATAGTACACGGAGGCCTGCAGGCCACATTGACAGAACTACGTGAAAGATTTTGGCTGCCAGGAGCACGAAGAATTGTGAAGAAGATCCTCGCTCAGTGCCGGACCTGTCGGCGGTTCAGCGCAAAGCCAGCCACGGCTCCAGTAGCTCCACTACCACGGGACAGGGTGGAAGAGGGACACCCATTCCAGGTCGTAGGAGTCGACTTCGCGGGGCCGTTATTCGCCAGTTCAAAGGGACAATGAGCTAAAACGTACATTGCTCTCTTCACTTGCGCGACTACTCGTGCAATACACCTCGAGTTAGTATCCTCTACGACCACTGCATCGTTTCTCTTGGCTTTGAGGAGATTCGTGGCTAGAAGAGGAATTCCGACCACAATTTATAGCGACAACGCATTAACATTTAAAAGAGCAGCGAAGGATCTGAAAGTTCTATGGGAGGCTATTCGCAGTTCCGGATCACAAGACTTCTGCAGTACCCACCGAATAACCTGGAAGTTCATCGTAGAGCGGGCCGCCTGGTGGGGCGGCTGGTGGGAAAGAATGGTGCGATCGGTGAAAACGTGCATGAGGAAAGTTCTGGGACGACAAAGTCTGTCTTTTGAAGAGCTAACTACCGTACTGACCGACATCGAAGCAGCAATCAACTCTAGACCCTTGACCTACTTACACGCAGATAACAGCGAACCAACAGCCTTAACTCCGGCTCATTTACTCATCGGACGACGATTGACAACCCTGCCAGAGACGGAGCCGCCACACCCAGTCGCGTCCTCAAGAGATGCGCTTTCACGACGGTGGCAATATCGACAGAAGCTCATGAACAATTTCTGGGTACGCTGGAAAAAAGAATACCTCCTAGAGCTTCGATCAGCACACCTAGCAACGCCTCTTAACAGCCGACCACCGAAAATCGGAGACGTGGCTCTCCTGCACGACGACATTGCCCCGAGACATCTGTGGACCTTGGTTCGTGTCATTGATGTACTATCTGGAAGAGACGGAAATGTGAGGGCATGTACCATAAAACTACCATCCGGTTCAGTGACACGAAGACCAGTACAACTGTTGTACCCATTGGAAGCCATTTGAACTTCAGTGTATTTTCCTCGCGTTGTGGGGGCGGGGAGGATATATGTAAAATAATTGTAACTGAACAGGGACTGACATAAGACTCTTGTCCGCTTACAATGAAGAAGAAGATGAGGGGCAGGGGCTGGCGCGAGGGGAGCCATTAGGTCAGTAAAAACGAAGGTTCCCAACGAAGTCGGTTGTCCTGTCTTTCACGAATCGACCTCACAAGGTCACCGACAAAGTCATCAGTCGACGAAATAGAGAGCTTATATGTGCAACAAGCATATCAACAGAGTGCTCGTCTGCACAGATTTGTCACACACCTTCGCTCCGTCTCCCTGATTGGCTCGAGGGGGCTGTGGCGGTTGGCCTTTTCCAAGTTACGGTGATGCGAAATATAGACAGCCCACACTTTTAAAAAGAGTCTATTGAAGAGACCGAAAGGAATGGTAGTCAAAATTTTTCAACAAGACTGCTCTCCAGGCAAGGGATGAACACAAATATGAATCATCTTATCCAAGTAATCAGAACAATTAAATAATTGACAGACTAATACAATGCGCTCTTGATGGAAAAGAGTATAGCTGCAATAAATCCTATAAAACAGAAAAAATGCGCAGTTAATCTATGCATGCACCAAAACAGTTGTTCTTATAGCAAGTCGAATAGCTTTGAAGCAGGTGCCTGCAACGATTTATTCTTCCCCATACTCAATAAAACGCCAACCTCGTAGCTGAAAATAAGGGTGCATTTCGCACTCACACACACACACACCCAAAAAGGAAGAGAAGCGATCGAATGTAGAATCGTGGATTAGCACAAAAGGTTAAAATCGCAGGAGCTTCCTCGCTAAAAGTTGCTATGGTTGTTCGGTGACGGAGGGCTGAAACAACTTCCCTTAGGCCCTAACGCGACGTATACATTTCGCGTAGATTCTCAGATATTTCAACGTTCAAACAAAGCTAAGAGAATGCGAAAATTTCATGATAAAAGCACTCAAAGTTCTATCGATCCTCGGACACATCCCGGAATCCGAGCACCGGTACGGCGATGCAGAGCTGATGCTGTCTCACAGGCGTTAATATCCAGATGATCCAAAGCGATCTTGCGCAAAAACGGTACAAAGTCTCATTCCTTCATATTTTCACATTACACCTGCGTCAGCGAGCACGAAGAAGCCCGAAGTCGTCGGAAAGCAGCTGCACATCACGGCTACCGCGCACCGAACAAACTCGCATCCCCCAGCTCTGGGCGCTGCCATCTTACCTGTGACGTCAGGGCTCTTGAGAGGTCACGTGACGAGTGGTCACATTTGCGTAAAATATGGCGGCAACCGGGGGGGTGCCACTTCCGAACTTCCGGTTTACCACTCTAAGCCCCTCTACCTCGTTGGTTCACACACATGTGTCCGTAGCGACCGGAACGACCGGGACAACCGAAACGACGGTTGCAAGGTTCTGCCAGCGCCAGTTGCCATAGCGACGGAGGGACGCACGCACGTGTCGTTCACGACGCAAGCAGTTGGAGGGAGCCCAACTTTCCCCGCTGCGTTCGAAATAACCGAAGCGAGCGCAACGACAGACCAATCACACGTCGAAGAGAATGGGTCGCGCGCGTTGCATGGCGGTCGCGGGCTGGCTCATTCTATTTGCAAACGTGGTGTCGGTGGTGATCGTCGACGTGGACGGCGTGGTGAAAGCTCATCGTTCCGCGTAAAAGCGTTATCCTTGACTGTGAATTTTCGTTGTTTGTCGCTATGATAACCCAGCACGTACTAGAAGGGAAGGTCCACCTACTCGTGCGGCGATGTCGTGGCGCACTCTCAAGACAGCAGAAACGCCCCTGCCGTCGTGTTTGTTTACTTCGACTACAGTGGTGCTTTCTTATCATTTGTGTCCTCGAACATAGCTCGGATTTCTTATTTGGCGCATTTCATGCTTGTGCTCAAGTTCGAGGTATTACTGGCGCGCACCGTATAAAGGATGCGAATTTTCACGCGATTTCATCACCGGAGCAAAGTGATTAGTGTTAGCAATCCTGAACGCTCGCAACGTCTCTATGATTACCAAATCATACTTCTACGTTGCTATATCGCTGATAAGATTACATCATCTTTTATAATCGTAGAAAATGCGTGTGGCGACATTTGTACCATCGGCAAAGTTCTGTATTAGAGCCGTGATCGTCCAAGACGGCGTACTCCATCTTTTTCTTTTCTTTTTTCATCCACTGTATCCTCCAAGCCTGTCATGAAAAAAAAACATTAAAAACCTTTAGGCTATAGAAAACTGTCTGTCTGTATATTCTGTTACGGCATTGAGTGGCAGTGCGTCCCATTTTTAGAGGAACCGCTGAAACAGCTGACGGCGGCGTAGAAGTGGTCGCCGTGATGCCGATCCGCTGCGCTTGTTGCAGCGGTTGCATGTGTGTGTACGCGCGGCGCAGAGCTGTCGTTCCGGTCGCTCCGGTTGCAACGGACGCATCGCGCTCGTTGTACATGTCTGAACCAGCCTTAACCCTCCGGAATTTGCCGTTTTTCTATCTCTTAGATGGGTTGTTAGCTTTTCAACGCTGTTCTGAAGCCAAGGGCTAAGGCGACTACAGTAAGAAAGCATTTTGTACGTAATTTAAAAGAAGCGTGTACACTACAAAGATGCTGAATATACGTAAACCTGAGTCAGCCAGCTTCACGTTTAGCCTATTTTTTTATGTTTACAATTTATAATAACGATTTCTAGTTGTAACATGCCCACGGCGCGAAGTGGACCTGGGACAAAGGAGCAGTTTTTTTTTTAACAGTAAAAAAAAATAAAAATAAAACGATGAACAGACTCATGTTCAGACACACTTACTTGAGGTTGCCCCTGAGGTGGGGCCTCGCCTTAGAGTGAGACACAACTGCTTCAGTCAGTGCTCCCCAAACTTCACTAGCTTGTGAGCAATCAAAAGAACAAAAAATGTTGTAAAATAACGCTGATGTTTAGGCTGGTAGTTATGCAGACATAATACTTAAATGACGAGCTCAGAGTCACCACTGCGTCCTCTCGGTAACCGTTTACTTTGTCTTTGTGTTCGCGCTGGTTTTGTTGCAAAAGAGCGCAGCTTCGAAAGGCTGTAAAACAATATTTCTTTTATAATGACTCAAGAGGTGGTGCAAGGATATTCAATTGGAATATTTTTCACGTCACAAAAGCTTACTGACACCAGTGGGACTCAAGGATACTCGCACGCAACGCCA